CTCTCTCTCTCCTGTCTCTCTCTCTTCTCTCTTTTTGTCTCTCTCCTCTCTCTGTCTCTCTCTGTCTCTGTCTCTCTCCTCTCTCTGTCTCTCTCTCTCTGTCTCTCTCTCTCTCTTTCCACTGTGATTCAACCCCTACCCTCCACCCCCACCACCAGCCTGCCAATGTGTATATAGAAGCACACTATTTATGACTCACCACATAGTGCGGAGACATAATAAATCTTGCTGGGGATTTGGAATGTGCAGATAGAATACGCACCAAGTGCATGGGAATTATGGGGACATAAAAGTGTTTTAAAGCAAAAGGATAAAGGTGCCCCTTGGGGGCAGACATCCTTTCTATTTTTATGACAATATCTGCATAGACATTCTCTTTGGAAACAGTCAGAATTGGCCGGAAATAGAACTGCATGAACTCTGTTATTCAAAATGGAAAGTGGAGACTTATTTGGATCCCTGCCAGGTATACTCCAGCACAAACACGTAGGAAGATTTTCATAAAACATTTTCATAAAAGAATTCATCATCCCCATCTGTCCCAGCATTTCAGCCACATGTGGAGCTCTCTCCTGTCTGGAAAACGGAACCTGCATTTAGGTTCTATCCAGGCTGGTTCCCACTGACTGCTCTCCTACCTGCTTCCCGGCACTTAAAATCTGTGGAACATATCATTGTTCAGAAACGACCTTGTGTGATGGTGTTTTGATCCACAGCCTAGCATCTGGGGCCAGACCATCCCTGCTTTGTTCCAGCCTGTTCGATGGATGAATAGCAAGCTCCTGGGACTATTCCAGGTACCAGTGTGCTCAGCAGAACATGACTTGGCACACGATCCAGTGACAGTGTCCAACTATAAAGCAGAACACAGTGCCCCAAAGGAAAAAACATGGGGACTGTGATAAGAGGGCTGCCAGGGGCTGACATCCTTGGGATAGCTGAGCAAGGTCACTCTCAAAGCTTAAGGAAAGGCAGTAATCTCAGAGCACATCTGGGGAGATTGTTCAAAGCAGGAAGGGAAGCAAAAGCAAGTGTGTGAAGGAAAGTGTGAAGGAAGGTTGGAGAAGGTAGCAAAATGGTGACACACCAGTGCCCAGCTAGTGAGGGAAAGAGGTGAGCAGACGCAGTAATATCTGTATAATTTTTTTTTTAATACTGGGAATTGAAGCCAGAGCCTTTGCACCAAGCTATATCCCCAAATCTTCATATTTTTTGAGGTAAAGATTCATTAAGTTGCTAAGTAGCTCAGTCTGGCCATGAACCTATCATAGTCCTCCCCCAGAATCCCAGATTATAGGCATGTGTCACCACAGCTGACGAACAATGTCTGGATACTTGGTCTTCCTTTCATGAGCACTGAAGGTTTCTTTGGAAGCTCATTTAATGGCACACAGGTCAAACTGATTCTAAGACTTCCTTTGATATCATTTTCCTCAGAAAAGTCTAGAGATTCTCTACCAGAGGTTTAGGTGAAGCCAAATAATATATCACAATTCTTTTTGGGGTCTCCACTCAATTTTATACACCATATGGTATATAAAAAGCACTAACTCTCGGGATGTTTAGATCTCTGAATTCTCTCAGTTGAGTTCATCTGGGTTGTTGTTTTCATCAAGAGTTTGAGCTACAAATACACATTTGAGAACCCTATTAACCAGGGCTTATAATTAGAAAAGTCAATTTTAGTAGTCTTTTAGCACAACCCATTGGTAGACAGTTGAGTACTAGCATCTGTCTGAACATGGTGCTTGTAATTATTCAGACAGTGATGATGTTAAACACATCTTAATGTTATTTGGCATCTACTATGTGTGCTTTCATCAAGTCACTTATTTACTATGCATAGTGACTTTGAGAATGTGCTGGCTTCCAGTGGCTACTGAGACCACTCAGCACCAACTGGGTGACTCATGCGTGAGAAATCCCATCTTTCCAAGTTCTGGAGGCCAAGGTCTAAGTGTCACACATCCACAGGCTGTGCCCTGCCCTAGCCACTCTGTGGTTGTCTTGGTGGCTGTCAGCACTCCTTGATCTGGACCCTGGCTACCTCTCTGCCACCATCTCTACACCTATGGTTCCATCACTTCCTCCTCTGTGCTTCTTGTCAGCCTCAAATGTCCTTCAGTCTTTCTCTCTCGTGAGGACAGCAGTCACAGGATTTAGCACTTATTCAGATAACCAAGCATTTTTTAAATGTTTATTTTTCTTTGTACATGTTTGCAGTAATGGTGGTGGCATTCCTGGTGGGGAATTGGTGTGCTCATGCACAACACATCTTATATT